CGCACTTCTATAGACATTTCACACGAAAGTTAAATCAGTTTGAAAGCAGGCAATTTGCATGTGGAGAACTAAAGCAGAAATTCACACTACTCGTTGAACACCAGACAGAGTGTAATCAGGTCGATGGAAAGTATTTGCTTCTGTATTTTTTGAAAACATTGGTGTACCAGGTAAATGAAAATTACTGTGCATTTATGGTTAGCTCTATTACTTTGAATCATAGATCATTTCTGCATTCTGTGCCTTTTCAGAAAGAAGCTAGCACAACGATAGTTTTCCATGAAATAATCGATATGATTCAGACACTATGTAATATTCCTTAAAAAGCTAATAGATTTGACGTGTTTTTCCTAAATGTTATGAGTAATGCAATTTATTTTCAACAACTAAAAAAAAATCACCATTCGCCGAGGCTCGACAAATATCCTGATGCTTAATTATGCAAAGAAAGAAATCTAAAACAAATGCAAGCATTTTCTTCCAGAAATGTCAGGAGGAAGGAGTTTTCTCCGTATTTCACCAGTATCGCAGATGACAATGTTCAATAAATTTCGATTCTGTCACCGTCAGCTCGGGAAATCTTTGAATGATCTTGCAAAGTCTACGGGTTCTAGTGATGTTACAGCAATAGTACTGAAGATGTCTGGACTAGAATTAACAGTACCCCTAGCCATCTGTTCCAATACAGCTAGAACACTGGCATGGATACGATATTGTGTATATCATTCTAGGTATATCCAATTTACAATAAACAGCACTTATCCAACAATCCCAATCATTCTTATATCTATCCTGAACCCAAGCTAATGGATAAAATCACGACAGCATTATTAGGCAGCAATTCCTCAGTTGCTAGAAATTCTACACCAAGTAAGTCACCTCTTTTCTTACCGAGTGAGTGAGAAGGCAGAAAGTAGCAGTTTTACGCAATATTCTCAACTTGTTTGGGTGTGAGCAGTTTGCACAGATCATTGCCATCAAGTGCAAAGTTTAATTTGCATCCCATCAAACTCCAGAAAATTTCACATTGTCGAACACCAATGCATTGTTGCAACAATGTTTACCATCTCCGAAAATACTGCAGCAACACCCCACATTCCCCCAAAGGGGCCCTCTAAAAGCCATTTCCAAATTAAACCTCTATGGCTTAAAATGCACAATTGCAAAATCAACATCACCCTCTCCTGCAAACAACATGCAATCCTAATTTGGAAATATCGCGTCATTTTTTAAATCCCACTCTATATACTCCTGGATTTTCTCCTTAACCAAACTGTGCGCCTACACTTAGTACAAGGTCTACAGAAATTAAAGGAAACAACTTGTCATGATCTTTTCAAAGGTAATTGGAGTTTGGGCGCAAGTGCTAAATTAACTAGCAATAGCCATGCGAGAGGAGCGAATAAACTTCACACAAATAATGATTCCGCGATCACTTGATTTGCATGGCGTGATTAGTCAGTCTTCTACTTGTTGCAGGACGATTATGAGAATGCATCGTATGCTTCTTGAATGATACACCTCATTACTTCAGCTGTTATTATACGTCTAAAATTTTCCCTTCTGTCCAGTGCCATCAGACATTATACAAATTTATTTGAAGAATATTACCAACATTTTTTCATGGCCTCAGCATGTGGAAGACGATCAATATATTTGTTTTAGGTGTGGTTGTTAATCTGGTGACAATTCTGGTTCTACCTTGTGGACGTTGTTATTTGCCCAAATGCATCTCTAGTTACCTCTTGACAATGGTAGTAACCAGTAGATCAGTTCTAACATTCGACGATATAGCCTGTGATACCAGAGATTATTATTTTCCCAATTTATAATTCAACTACAATACATTTGCACTCTGAGCATCATGCTGTTGACGTTAAACGATCAGTCTGGTTAACTATCGCATTCATCTTTGATCAATTTGTGGCTGTTTGGTGCCAAAAGCTGCAGGCAAAGTTTTTCTCTGTAAAAAAAACAGCTATACTCTTCTCTGAGCAACTTGCAGTAACTTCCTTACATTTGAAACTCCTAAGACAATTGATATCGTACCTGTTTTCCTGTTCTGCGAGCGCAAGTTTCTGCACGTGGTTGATATAGATTTCAATTTGGTGGATGGGAACTATTTTAACCAATTTGTACTGTTTGTTCTGGCACTACAACCAAATTTTCTGACCATCAGGAATATTGTAGAGACTAATAGAGATTAAAGAGGACTCAGGGGAAACAATAACTGCCTGAAACACAGTGATCCCGAAATGGTGATGGAGAGAAGGGGAATAATTACATAAATTGGAAATTTAGAAACTTGTTTTATGGATTGTAACATGGATATCCTGCGTAATTGCACAATTTGTGGATTTACATTTACTAACAGCAAGTTACATCGGCCGATTTATAATTCTAGAAGAAACAGCGCTGTATGCTAATCAAATTGAGGCATCTGTGCAAACCTCTTTATTTGTGCAGTTTCACTATGTAAATTCAAAATTGAGCGCATAATTTGATTACACACCCCATTTTGCTGCTTACGTTTTCATTTAAGAATGCTGTTACTTCTCTGAACTAAGCAGCAATGCAGTTTTAATCTCAACATTTTTGGTCAAGACCTCCATGATCTTCGACCAACATCTCTTGGAATTACATTATTGCCAAGAGGAGATTTGACATATAGTTGCCACTTATTTCTCTTGTTTGTGGAAAATACTGTTACTTGTTGTAAAAACAAACACACACAATCAATTGTTCCATTCGAATTTCACAGGTATCATTCACTTAAAGTGGTAGCTACAAGGAAATGATTTCTATCCAGTCTACTGGATGCACTGGAATTAGTGGGGAGTTGCGTATTTCTTCGTTGTCGGTATTTTTTTCTTTCCAAATTTTGAGTCAAAGTATGAAATAAATATTGAAATTGATTGTGATTCTTCAAATTTCTAAAGAAGGCCATCGATTTTGGCGCAACTGATGGAACACTATCGGCAATATGTATCCAATACCATCAGAAGTTGTGATCTGGGTTAAATTACTGGTTTTCTATTTACTACATGTAATAAGCATTTACTGCTTTTTATTAGGTTATTACACGCAAGTAAACAAAGAAAGTCTGCGGACTAATATTCTTCTGTTTATATGAAGGCAACATTCTGTTCTTGCTGGAAATATAGAATAATAATATAAAAAGTCGATGAACACATCTGATCAGGCAGCATTTGTGTGAAGAGAAAGAAAGTCAACGTTTCCAATCGATATGGTATTGTCAGTCATGAATTGTTGAGATTGTCCATTATCTTCTGGTTTTATTACAATTAATTCTGCTAAATCGTTTCTATGGACCAGAGCAGACTCTCTCAAATTATTTTTAAGAAGGTAGCCTAAGCACTGACTCTGTCGTATTTTAAAAGCAAATATAAATTGCTTTCTTCCAGACGAAATTCGACTAGTCGAACTGTTCAGTGTAAGCAAAACACATATTTTTTTCAAGTACTTTAGTTAAAATACAACAAAAAAAGGAATAACTTAGAATAACCTAACTCTATTGGAAAACTTAGCAGAATAATAGAGACAATAATTATTACTATGTAACTGTACCAATGCAGCAGCAAGCATATGCACACCCCTTGGCAAAAAGGCAACTCGAAACAGATTGTCCCACATGCAAGCCAGCAGCAGAGACAGAGAAGAACAAAAAAAAAATGTCGAGTGAAAACCCAGAGAAAGTAGTAGCCAAAAAGTCATTTACTTCGGCTTCAAACGCTGTTGAGACTCCAACAGCAATTGCTTAAAGCTAAACCTAAAAAGAAACTAAAAAAAGGAAATTCCGGTCTTTGAGAGCTGCACACAAATATCCAGGCTCCATTTATTGTTCAAACTTCCAAGACAAGTTTACGTTACCACAGACAAGTTAAATCTCTCTTCTAAAAGAAACCTGGAAAAAAAAATACACCTTTTAAAGCCACTGCAATGCCATACATGAAAGACCCATTGCGTATCTATTCCTATATCCATAAGCACCAGTAAAGAACAAACAATCGAACGTCCAACGTTGTTTTGTTTTTCATCTATATCTTTTTGTAGTCTGGATTTCGATGATTTCTGGTTTTTGAAAAAAAGTCACAGCAAACAAAGTCAATGAAAAATCCGAAGAAGGAGCACTGTTAACGTTCCTAGGCAAAATCAGTGTTAAAAGGGAAATGGTGATCATGCTACTTCTGTGGAATTTCTGGGGAGTGATACCAATCGCAATAACTGAATAAAACACCCAATTCTAACTCTCAATGTAATTTTGAGTTTAGGCGCATTTAAGAATTTTGTAAGCTAACATTTTACAACATTGTTAGAGAAGAGATTATTTGGAATGTCAAAAACATTCATATCTGAAGTCATTTTTCTTAAATAGTAACGATCATATAAAAACCGTTTCCCATCTCCAACACTGGAGTTAGTCTCTGAATTCTGAAAACGAACATTTCAGGTTGTTCTTGCACAGATCTGTAACTGACAGTATTTTTTGCTCTGAGTGTGTCTCGTTGTGAAGCCTCTTAGAATGCATACACAGCTCGCGTTTCTCAAAGAAATCTATATAATGCTGTTTCTAGGTTAAATAAGTAAGGATTATTTTGTAACAAATTGCCGTTAGTACAATGCAAAGGTGTTCGTTTATTTCCCTATTTACATACCAGGAGAATGCTGTTCAAAGTTTGCGATTTGAAAGTTCGCAGCATAGTTTTGGATTGTAAACAATAAATTATTTAAAAAAGGAGCAAAATTCCAGATGAATTTGCTATCATGATGAGTTACTGCTTGAACTGTATGTACTTCTTTCACAATAAACATGCATACCACTTGGGCTTAATTTTGTTCAATTGACTAAAACAAAAACTAATGATTGTGTATACTGGTACAACCACATGAGGATTCTCTCTCGTATTATAGAGACACCAGTTCGAAAGCAGAACATTGCGTGTACAAAAGGTAAAGGGAGATTTTTACTACTGGCGAACATGGGGCAGCCGGTAATCATACAGGTTGAAAATATTTGCTACCCCATTCTTGCAATTGTTGGCGTTCCGGGTAAGTCACGGAAAATTACCGAACAAGTTATAGTTTATATTGTTTAACTTATTCATCATCTTTCTGCTACTGAAATATTGTGTTTCTTTCGACGTATTTAATTCTGGAAATAATTATCAGCATCAGTGAAATAATAACAGTTCTCTTATGACTGCCATGCAGCCAGAAGATTTATTTGAAAGCTTGAAAAGACGTTTTTTATATTCCTTCATAGGACATGAACATCGTTAGCTTAGCCATCATCAATACTCCATTCTTAATTGCCCCGAGGGCTGTTAAGAGCCAATCACATTGCTGTGTGTCTAGAGTCACAGATAGGTCAGTCTGGGCGAGGATAATGTCTTATCCTAAACGATATTAGTCAACCAAACTGTTTTTTTAAATAAGTGAGAATGGTTTGTCGCTTTTGCGTCCGCCCTTCTTTCATATTAAGTTTAAGTTTTAACCTTCGCTGCGGTGGAATTCCAATCCATATCCCTAGAACGTTAGCCTTGTGTTTGGATTCGTAAGACAGTTACATTGACACTGAGTCACAACTTTCGCCAATGTAATCTGAAAGTTGAATGTCAGTCACTTTGTTAATACCTGAGACGGAGACATTATAATTTTCAGAGAGAGAGAGAGAAAAAAAAAGCGTGTACAATTGCTTCCCCAAACGTAAAACCAAAATGTTTTATGTACACAACGAGCGGTCACAGAGAGACAAAGAGAGCGAGAGAGAGACAGAGAGAGAAAGAGAGAGAGACTGAACCATAAACAGACACACAGGCAGAGAGGCGGGGTGGGGGTTTGTGGGGGGGGGGGGGGGGGGGGGGGCGGGGGGGGGGGAGGGGGGGTGCCGCGGTGGTGGGGGTGGAGTAGAAAACAGTAAGCATAAGCATCTGTTTTCGGGAAAAAGAATCAGTTTGATTCAGAAACTGTGTCATAGTCTATAAAAAAAGGTATCAGATTCGCTGTGGATTTCCTGAATGGCATATGTAATACAGTTAACTTTCCACAATGGATTGAAAGCATAGTTCCACAGTTTCGGATTCCTGTGCTTACCCACATTCGTTTTTAGTAAATCTGTAGTAAATGAATGAGGTGACGTGCTTGAAACATAGTATGTTTTGAGGTGTCTGGACAGGATATGTTAAGGATAATTCCTATATTTCACAAGATGTAACAAATTTTACGGTGGGATCAGTGCTTGCGCTTCAACGTTTTATAAATTAAAGCAATGATTTGGCTGAAAGGACCAAAACTGTTATTTTTGCTGATAACTTAAAGATGGCTCTGAAATACAAAGGTGAAGTCAAAGTAACTATGCGACACTGGTCTGGGGAATTTATTCATCTCAACTGACTGGATGGCTGGTTCACAATACAGAGTGCTGCCGACAGCGCAGGTTTAATTCACGAGTCTGGGCACCATCAAGTTTCATTTCCTCAACCTTGCCACTCGCCTCAGGAAACAGTAACCTTATGTTTACTCATGATCAGTCATTTCTATCCAATGAGAGACCAAGAATACCATGAATTACAAATCATTACAAAGGGAAATAAATAGTTTGAAGAAGCGGACAGAGATCTGGCAATTGGAACATTAATGCGGGGGAGCCGTACGTTGTCCATTTTGACAATGGAGAATGGAAAACAAACATAGCATTTCATTTCAATTATGAGAGATGGCAGAGGTTTGAGATATAGAGGCATATGTGAGTCTCACTGCATGGATCACAAAATGTTAGCATGCACGTCAGTTCGGAATTATGAAAGCTAATAGAATGTTACAGCTTATTGTGAGGAAAAATTAACACACAAGTAATGATTCACTTACAAAGGCCTCAGGTGAGACAGGTCTGGAACACAGAGGACAGCGTTGATTTTTTTTTCTCAAGAGTATGCAAATACATTGGAAGAGAAAGTTTACTATCAGAAAAAGTTGAACCTTGTGCTTTCAAAATAAAATTTGAAGACTTGAGATTTGAATTTGCACGAATTTAGAAGAGAAGGTTTTGATTTGATTAAACACATAAGATTCTGTCAGTGGGTTAATATTTGAAACATGGTTCCTCTTGTACTGGAATGTCAAAATTGAAGTTTCTGTTTAAAAATAAGTGGTCACTAATTTCAGACAGAGATAAATAGGGAAAGTTGTGCTCAGAGAGGGACATGAGTCAAGGAACAGTCTTCTTTAAAGAAATGACAAAATGAATTTCATTGACGCTATTTAAGGACGAGTTTGTTACACTTTTCGTCTTATGCCTCACTGGGGACAGTGCTGTTAAGGTCACTAGGCAGAGTTGTCAATCGTGACGAGGATAGACTTAGACGACAGAAAGACATAATGAATTAATTAGATGAGTGATCAATGGTGAATGGAATTCAATGCGGTTAACTGTGAGGTTTTGCGATTGTGTAGGACAAATGGTGTGAGAGAATACATCTTCAGACACCATGAAACACCAAGTATTGGAGGGATTGTTTATGGCATGGTCACGGTCTTTTAAGGTAGCAAGACAAGTACATAAATTGGTTCATAAGTTCTATGAGATGCGGCTTTATCAGCTATGGCAAAAAGTTGGGAGATTATTCTGGATCTCCATAATGCGTTGGTTAGGCTGCAGCTAGAATATTGTGTGCAGCTTTGGAATCCACATTATAGGAGTGACGTGATTGCATTGGAGAGGTTACAAAGAGTATTTACTAGAACATTGCCTGAGTTGGAGATTTGTGATTGAGAGAGAGATTGGATAGATTGGGGTTGTTTTTTCTTGAAAGCGGAGGGAATTAAGTGGACAATGCTTCATTGAGATGCATAGAATTATGAGAGGCGTAGACATGGCAAACAGGAAGAAAGGTCAATGGAGAGGTCAATGACCATGGGACATTGATTTTACGTAACAGGCATGATGCTTAAAAGAGATGAGAAGTTTTTTTTTTACTCAGATGGTGGTGGGTATCTGGAATTCGCTACCTATAAGGATGGGAGAAGCCGAAATCCTCCTACCATTTACCAAGTATTTACCTGCGAATTTGCAATGTAAAAGCATACAATGTTTTTTTGTGAGCAAACTACTGCAGAGTGCTATCAGAATAAAAAGAAAAGTTGTTGGAAAAAACTCCAGTTCTGGCAGCATCTGTGAAGAGAAATCAGAGTTAAAATATTGGGTCTGGTAACCCTTCGTCAGAGCAGTTAAGCAGTTAGCACTGCTACCTGACAATGCCAAGGACTCGGGCTTGATTCCACCCTTGAACGTCTGTCTGTATGGAGTTTTCAAGTTCTCCCCATGTCTGCGTTGGTTTCCATCGGGTGCTCTGTTTTCCACCCACAGTCCAAAGATTTGCAAGCTAGGTGGATTGGCCATGCTGAATTGCCCATTGTGTTCAGGGATGTGTTGGTTTGGTGCATTGACCATGCTAGGTGCAGTGCTGCGAGGATAGGGTAGGGGAATGTGTCTGGTTGGGATGCTTTTGGAGGGTCAGTGCAGACTTGTTGGGCCGAATGTCCTGTTTCCACACTGCAGGGGATGCTATGGAACATGAAAAATACAGGACAGCATGTTGGGAATTGCAATAAGATCATGGCCGATCTGACTTCATCCTCAACTCCACAATCCATCATATCCCCGATTATCTTTCATACTCTTAATAATCATGAATGTATATACCTCTGCCTTAAAAAAATGTAAAGATTCTGTATCCATTGATAAAGGGAAATCCAAAGAGCCCCCACCCTCTCAGCGAAAACAAAATCAATTGCTTCATGTCCGTTTTAAATGTCTGCATACTGATTTTCAATATATCAACCCCTAGTTCTATATTTTCCCTTAAGAAGAAGTATCCTTTCAGCTTGCACACGATAAGTTCCCCTTAAGATCTTGTATGCTTCAGCTCAGTTACCTCCGAAATTTTGAAACTCCACAGGCAACAGGCCTAACATGTCTAACCCTTGCTCATAAAAATACACTTATTCCAGGCATTAAGTTAGCAAACGTTCTCTGAAGGGTTTCCAATGCATTGACATCCTTCCATAAATATGTAGTTCAGAATTGTACAGACTACACGTATTCGGTCACACCAATGTCCTGTTTAACTGAAGCTTCACCTCCCAATTGTCCCGTAAATTTCCCTCGCAATAGCGTATAACATTTGATTCGCTTTCCTGATTGTTTGCGACCGCTTCATATCATCGTTCTGTGATCCATACACTAGGACACACATATCACTCTGTAACTCAAATCCCTGCAACCTCTTATCATTGTCGATTTTTTAATTCGTTCTGTCAAATTGACAATTTCATACTTCTGCCATTATATTCTATTTTCTTAGATCTTTCCAAATGACTTGGACTAACTATGTCCCCCTTACAGCTCTTTATGTCCTCTTCACAGTATACATGTATTTGAAAATGATGTGTGAATCTGATGGCATTACAAGACAGAGCCATTTGCATTCTAAGTAACACAAATCCAATTCACTAGTCCAAACTAAGATGACACATAACCAATTAATTGTATCGAAGCCCTGCAGCTCTTGAAACTCCAGGCCTAAACGGCAATAGGTAAATAAATGATTCACTGGACAAGGAGGCTCCACAAATATCCCCATGCTCAATGATACAGCAACCCAAGAAAACTGAAACAGTTACAAACATCTTCTGTCAAGTGGAACTGTCGAATGCCTACTCCTGATGTCCTCAGCATCGCAAATGACAGCATGTAGTAAATTAGATTCTTCCAAGCGTGTTTGAGAAAGGACTCAAGGCGCTCAGTCCTGCGAGGTATATGGGTCGTAACAACTTTCCAGCAATAGTAGTGAAGATGTACGTTCATAAATTAATCCAGCCCCAAGTGAACTGGACTAATACAGATGCAAAACTAGAAATGTGGACTTTCTTCTGGGTATATCCAAACCATTTCAGCAGTATATATCCAATCATTCTAATCACTTACTCTGAATTCTCATAACGCTGATGGAACATGTCATCGATAGTAATATCAAGCTGAATTTTTTCACAGCTTAGGAATTCCAGACAAGAAAATGGCCTCCATTCCTTAATACCTGAGAAGACGCAAATAACCGATGTAATGGATTGCTATAAATTTGGATGAATGAGTACAGCTCGAAAGAAAATCATGAAGGTCACCACCATCCAGCCTAACACGTTTTCATTTGTGTGCACCACGTATACTATGCACTGCAACGACACTTGCGTTGGTCCTCCAAAAAATCATTCCTTATCTGCCACCTCTACCGTTTAGAAAGACAAGAGCAGCCAATGCATGGGAGCAGAGACACCTGCAGAGTTTCCTCCAAGCCACACGTTATTCTGATTTGGAAACATTTTGCAAATTTTTAATCTCTGCTTGAATATGTTAGTGGATGTACACTGTATGCAGGATATATACAGCACAAGACCTGCTGCCTCTCGAGGAGGCAGCTGACACAACCATTTCAACTGCTATAGGGGATTAGTACTCAATGGCAGTGCAACCAGCGACAAGCACATTATAGGAATAAAGGAACATCAAATCAACAATGTTTCCACGCCTTCTTCAACTCTATGGGGTGATTTGTCTATGTTCTATTTGTCAACGAATAAATAATAATTTATTCAACTTTTCCAGGACTTTACACACTTTCAATTCAGCTACCATTAACGAACTGAAGTTTGGCACTTTGCATATTCTTTTGTATCCTAGCATGTGCACCCCTGAGAGAACTAGTTTTAGCGTCATTTAAGAATGGTCTAATTGAAATTCTGTGCAAGGTTTTATGTACATTTCATTCCTGAATGACTCCTTTGCATATCCATTTCCTTCTCAGCTTCTATCCATTTTCTGCATCCCATTGAACAGATATGCTTATTCCTTCACGTTATTTACAAAAAATCTTTTCAGAAAATCAAATGATCTTGTAACTCCCAATGTCTTCATACACGGCAATGCATGTCGCTGCATCTCCTTTATAGTTCCCTTTTAAATCTCTAAATTAATTAAAGTCTTTTTGAATGTTTTGGTTTTCCTCACTGGAGCTTTGTGACAAGTGGTATTCAGCAAGGATCATTACAGGGACCTCATTTATTTGTAATTTATATATTAGTGATATCAAAAATGAACAGAATATAGATCCCGTGGACAGAGAAATGGTAGTCAGAGTTTAAATCAGACAAACCTGAGGTGATAAATTTTGGGAAATCAGATGCAAGACGGATGTTTACTGCAAATGGCTGGACCCTTAGCATTGACAAATAGAGGAATATTAGGGTCCAAAACCACAGCTCACTGAAAGTGGCAATGTAAATGGATAAGGTGTTAAAGAAGGCATGTTGCAGGCTGCCATTCATCTTTCGGAGCATTGCGTATAAAAAGCTGGTAAGTTGTGGTGCGACTGTATAAGAATTTGTTCAGGCCACATTTGAAGTCTGCAGTTCTGGTCGTCAGACTATAGGAAACAGGTGGAAGCAATGGAGATGGTGCAGAAGAGTTTTCCCAGGATGTTGCCTGAACTGGAGTATCTTATCTATCAGGAGAGGTTCTATAAACTTGGATTGTTTCTGCTAGTGTGTCAGAGGACTCGGGGCAATCTGACATAAGGATATACCATAAAGAGGGCGGATAGTATGAATCTCCTTCCTTGGGTGGAAATTTCAAATAGTAAAGGGCTTAGGATTAAAGTTAGAGGAGGAAATTTTAAAGGAGATGGACGTGGAAAGTGTTTTGCACAGAGGATAGTAGGTGTCTGGAACACACTGACAGCGGAGATGTAGAAGCATGTGCGACAACAAAGTCAAGAAGCATTTAGGCAGACGCATGAACAGGCATGAAATAGACAGCTAAGAATCATGTGCAGGCAGATGGGATTCGTCTAGAATATCATCATTTTCGGCGCAGATATGGTGGACTGAAGGTCCTGCTCCTGTTCTGCACTCTTCTATGTTCTATTTATGAAGAATTTCGACGATTTCTTTCAAATTCGGACGTCATATTCTGAGTTTCGAAAACACTTTTTTTGTATCTATGTGCTAAAGCATATTTGACTCAGGAAGATGATCACTTAGTGCCATTTGTTTCCTTTTCCATACTGGAAATTGACACGGAAGCCAAAGGCGTGCCTCTGCATAATTGTGGACTATAAATTCACATTGTCTTAAACAAGAAACAATTTAACATTTCAGGCACACATTCAACTTGAGTGGGTGCATGGTGCTGGCACCATCTTTGAAACTCTTGCTTTAAACGTTGGCAATTTGATTACACAGAGATAATATTGAATGAAATATTGGCAGAAAGTAAAAATAAACATGCTTGTATGGCGATGTCATTTTCTTCTCCACTACGACTATGCTACTGATTGGCAACATATATTACACATGCTTATTCGAAGAAATTATTAATAATTTCTCATAATTTTGGGATATATTATGATTAGTTCATTTCTTTGCTTTTTTGCAGCTAATCTGGTGACAATTATGATTCTATCCCGTGAACTTTGCGACCTTTCCAAATGTGTCACCCGATATTTTGTGGCAATGGCAGTGGCGGATCTATCAGTTCTGGTATTTGACGTAATATTCTATGAGATCAAAGATTACTATTTCCCAAATTTGTTTTTCAACTATACACCAATTTGCACTCTGAGCATTGTCCTGAATATGGCGTCTGTTGACTGTTCTGTGTGGTTAACTGTTGCATTCACCTTTGATCGATTTGTGGCTATTTCTTGCCAAAAGCTGCAAATAAAGTATTGCTCTGCTAAAACGGCAACCGTGGTTATAGGAATGGTTTGTTCCGTGAGCATTTTACAGACTGTTCCGACGTATTTTGCGTTTGAACCTCGAGAAATAATAGACAACCGACCATGGTCCTGTTCTGTGAAAGCCAGTTTCTATAAATTACCTCTGTGGATTGCATATCGGTGGATGGAAATTATTTTAACTCCATTTCTTCCATTTGTTTTGATATTACTTTTCAATGTACTGACCATTAGGAGCATTGTACAGACAAATAGAGTCACAAGAAGACTCAGAGGAAACGAAAAAGATCTGAGACATAATGATCCACAAATGGTGAATAGGAGAAATTCGATGATAATCTTAATGGCCATATCTGGAAACTTTATTATTTTGTGGACTGTAACATTGGTAACTTACCTACTTGTCCAATTTACAGATGTAACATTATTAGTAGCAAGTTACAATGACCCATTTACAATTCTGGAACAAACAGGCTATATGCTAAGGACTTTGACTTGCTGTACAAACACCTTTATTTATGCAGTTTCACAACGTAAGTTCAAAGATGAGCTTAAGAATTTGATCATGATCCCCATTTCTCTGCTAATACCTTTCTTTAAGTAAGTTGTTAATTCTGTGAACTAAACAACAAGCACAAATTTACTCTCAACATTTTATTATAATGGACAATGCAAAACAATACATTTTTAATGAACTTTGGCCAGCATTTCTTTGCATTATACAAACAGCAAGTCAAAACTATCGTCTTTGTTTATTTTGCTCTCTTCTTGAACTTCACAGTGCTTAAAATAAAAATTGCAATTATCTATCCTGCCATCCTAACCTCTCAGACAAACCTCAGTTAAAATTACACAGATACAGAATTGTTTGGCAGGAAGAATGAGCATGAAGTATTTTCCAAACTGTAAAAGGCTTCAGAAATCTGCAGTGGAAAGGTACTTGGGAGTGCTAGCGCGGGATTCTCTTAAAGTTAACATGTAGGTTCAGACAGCAGTTAGGAAGGCAAATACAATATTACCGCTCATTTCAAGAGGGCTAGAATTCTGAGGCTGATAAGGCTCTACTCATTCGACATTTGGAACAATGTGAGCAGTTTGGTGACCCCATATCTAAGGGACGGTGTGCTCGTGTTGAAGGAGTTGCAGAAGACTTTTAGAAGAATTATCCTGGAGGTGAACCATTTGTCATATGAAGTTATGGTTGAGGACACTTGTTTTGTAATCATGGACATTAGAATGGTGAGGGATTATCTAATTGAAATTTACAGAATACTGACGGGCCTGGCTAGAGTGGATATAATCTATATGTTTGCACGAGATATAGAGACGAGGACCTGAGAGCAGTGAGTCAGAGTGAAGGACTGATCGTTTACAAATGAGAAGAGTAGTATTTTTTTCCGGCCAGAGGGTGGGTAGTCTGCAGAATTCATTACCACACAAGGCTATGGAGGCCAATACATTGCACGTAGTTTGAAGACAGAGGTAAGTAGATTCTTGATTAGTCTGAGATTTCAAGGCTTAAGTGGTGAAGCGAGGAGAATCAGCTTGAGCAACATTTCAACATTACCAAACGGCATAGCTGACTTTGTGGGCTAAATGGTCTAAGGTTGCTATGATATCGTATGTTTTATGGTCTTCTGTCCCGTTTTCCAGATCACCAGAATTAGATGAGAAGTTGGATATTTGTATTTGTGTCATTGTGTTTTCCAATCCTTATGTTAATTAAACATATTCAGTACATATCTAAATTAATCATGGTCCTTCAAACCCGCAAAACAGACCATGGCTTTTGAAGTTACTGTTTGGATATTCCATTCGAGATGAAATCCAATACCATCAGAAATATTGATCTAGGGATAAATGACACATTTCCCATTTACAGCACATTGTAGCCATTTATTTGAACATTGCACCTGAGAAAACAAAGGAAATTTGTGGATCATTAAACCCCAGACTTTGGTTTTGCTTAAATACTGTATATGCCAAAAATCTAAAGTTGCAATAAAAAAATTCTGGATAATCTCAACAGGTTTGGAAGCTTTTGTTTACAGAGAAACTATGTTGCTGATTCCATTTTTATATTTTTTTCGAAACTGTGAGTCCTGAACTATTGAGATTTACCATTACTTGCTGCTTTTATTAAACATTATTCTTATGGAAATGCAACTTGTCTATTTCCGTTTCCATGAACATACACAGAAAAATAGTATGTTCCACTTTCTATTTCATCAGTTTCTGTTTGTAGACGAGAGTTCCAAGACCTTTTCTGTGCAGGACAGTTTGCATACATCACATTTAATGGGTTTGCTTTGTTATAATTCGAATATACCCGCCTAATGTATAAGTCTGAGCTAACTATGGGCTAGTAACATTATTTTTAAGTTGAGAATGTGTTAGTTCCCACATATACACTTAGTAGTGAAATTCAAAGAAGTACAAATAACGAACATTACTGTACAAAATTCAACAGTATGGCAATCTACGTTATCTGAATAAAGCATGTTCAATTGAATAAAATTAACTTGAAGTAAATATTGCTAACAGGCAAACAACGCACATCAGACAGCATTCGTCGTCAAGGCAATCCCTCACATTTTTCTGTGTCACTGGCAGTGACATTGTAGATCTGCAAATCTAAATTTAAACATAAAAAATTAAAAGAGATTTACATTCTTCCCTTTCGAATACCTAGCTTCAGAACTGCCCTGAACGCCACTCTTTCATAGACAATGTCAAACATTTTACCATTCTGGAAAATCAACATACTTTCCTTCAGTCCATTGGATTCTGGAAACTCGACTCATGCAAATAGTCATAGGCATGAATCCAACAATTCAAAGACAACCAGCTTCATCAAGAAGCAAAGCATCTGTTCTATTTATTCCCTATGTTGTATTCTTGTTCACCTGAACTAATAGAAAACTGCTTCTTGGTTTTTGAACACTTGGAGCATGAATTGAAGTAAAGAAAGCCTCGCTTATTGGTTTCTTTCGAGTTTCTTGAATGATTTTTTGAATTTTTATGAGCCCCGCATCTAATTCAAGCACTTGCCTGTACCTTCTGGCTCCTAAGTCTTCCCTTGAGTTTTAACGTAACAGAATCACCCCTAAGAACTTTTGGAACTTCACATTAATTGCAAAAAAAAAACTGTAGCCTTTGCATCAGTACGTCATGATAATAGGGCTATTTCGCCTCATTTTGATTCTCTCTCCGTCTTTCTCTCTCTCACTCTCTTCTTTTTGAAAATGATTATAAACTTTGAAAAACTCTTCATAAACCCTCCGTATCATTGAGTCAGCTGTTAAAACTCTTGCAAAACCTCCATCCATTGTGCCTAAGTAATATTGAATGCAACTAATAATTTACGACAGTTAACTGTGATAACCACCTACATGTATAATTTTCAATCATTTCTGGCTTAGACATTCTGATGTATCAAAAAATAAAGGATTTTATCGCAGGGTAGTTTTAAAATATGTGTCCTAATTTTTAAAATTTATTTTCTTTGAAACAGACAACCGAAACTCTGCAGTCCAATCACACTGAAAGTTTGAAAGCTTGGTAACAGAATCAGCGCATACAGAGCCTTGTTTGAAATTCAATACTCGATGTTGACCTTCCATTCTTGTTTTTTTTTCTGTATTGCATACTGCCAAAGCTAAATTGTTTCTCAAACAGTTCTTCACAGATTATCACATGCCACTTCTGCAACACTCTAATGAATGATTTGAATAACTGACCTGCAACAACTATCATTTTTAATGCTATCTTCTGTTTTCTTCTGTTTCTTACCTTAAATCTATGTCACTAGTCATTGATCCCTCCATTCCAATCTGTCTGCATAAATGAAACTCTCCAGCCCTAACAACATCTACGTAAATCACCCCTGCTTCCTCTCCAATGCAATCACCTCCCTCCAAGAATATGGATTGCAGAAGTCTTGGAAACCAAGTTATTCTTGTCTCAACAGATTAATCACCAGGCAATGCTAAGAAGTTCTGAAGTCCTACATTTGTTGAATACAATTTCGATCAAGTGAAACTGTAGTTTAATATTTCAGCGCTTTTCCTCTATACATGGAAAATTTTCAGTATGGTACTGATGTTGAGTAAAGCCAAATTTTGAACAATGTTTTTGTTTTAAAATGTAACTCAAATGTGTTATGTTCAATGTAAGCGGTGTGTGCTTTTTCATAGAACGGAAAATCAATCGATTCATGTGTTTATACTGCAAGAGTTTGCAAAATTGTTCTCTGCTTGTTTGCTGCTAATCATGTGACAATTTGATTCTCTCTCACGGACGTTGCAACCTCTCCAAATGCATCACCCGGTATCTAGTTGCCATGGCAGTGGCAGACTTAACTGCACTACTATTTTACGTAATATTTTAAGAGGTTGAGGATTTTTATTTCCATATTCGTTCTTCACCTACACGCCAAATTGCTGTCTGTACATCACTCTGATCATGGCTTCAGTTGACTGTCCTGTCTGGGACAATTGCGTTTACCTTTGATCGATTTGTGGTTGTTTGTTGCTAACAGCTGCAAACGACATACTGCACCGTTAAAACAGCATCTATGGTTATAGCAGAGGTGTGCTCTTTATGCAGCTTATAGTCTGTTCCGGCCTATTTTGCAGTTGAACCACGAGAAATAATTGATAATCTACCATGATCCTGAAATGTCAAAGCAAACTTCTATACCTCCCCTATATGGCAGACATATTGGTGACTTGATGTGAGTTTAACTCCATTTGTGTCATTTGTTTTAGTAATATTATTTAATGCAGTGACCGTCAAGGATATTCTACAAGCTAATAGAGTGCGATGTGGACTCTGACGAAGAACTGGTGACGAGAATCACAATAATCCAAAAATGGAGACCTGCAGAAACTCAATGATTATTTTGCTTGCTATATCTTGCAACTTCATAACGTTACGGTTTTATCAGTTATATCTTACGTATCTGTGCAAGTTACAGTTGCACAATTATTAGTAGAATATTACAACGATCCACTTACTATTCTTAAATAATCTGGATACACGCTAAGAGCTTTGTGCTGCTACATGAATACATTTATTTATGTCGTTTCCCAGCGTAAATTCAAAGAAGAGCTTAAGAATGATATTCTTTTAAAATTCATTCACGTGATGAGGGCGTCGCTGGCCAGGCCTAAATTTATTGCCTATCTGAGAGAGCAGATAAGAATGAACCACGTTGCTGTGGGTCTGGAGTAACGTGGAGGCCCGACCAGGTAAGGATGGCAGTTCCCTTCTCTAAGGGACATTAGTGAATCAGATAGGCCTTTTCAACAATCAGCAATGGATTCACGAACACCATTAGACTCTTAATTCCAAATATTTATTGAAATCAAATTCCACCATCTACCGGGGCTAGATTCAAACCTGCGTCCCCTGGGTTTTTGGATTAACAGTCCAGTGATATTACAACTAGGCCATCGCCTTCCCATTGAATAGCCTGTCACCGCAATGACGTTTTCATTTAAGTAAGATAGATTACATCATAGAAATCAATTGATGAGAGAAGTTATAAACTTAATAAACTCCCACGATATCAAATTATGTCTCATTATGGCACTCCTACCAGGTTTCTGTTCCCATGAAGTATTGGTAAGTTCCTAAATGCTCTAAAAAAGGTTGTTCTTTAGCTTTCAGCTTATCCATTCCCGTCCCCAACCCGCCATGCAAAGTAAATATAAACATTTTCTTAACATGGAAATAGACACAGAAATATATTCTGTTTGCTTGTTCAGACATATTGGAATTAAATGCAGAGCGGTGCATTTCTTTACCTACATACGATTGTTTAATTCATTTGCTAATTAAAGCATCATGGGTGCATGTGGAAATTGTTAAACACGATTGAAGTGACAAAGAAGGACGTTGTTTTTAGAATTATCACTGGGCTTAAATCAACAGAAGAAATTCGGTACTTTCAGAACAGCATGTATATGTTAACATAGTGATTATGTTGAATAAGTAGGGCTATTGAAAAGGCAGTAAACAAAGTCATGCTCGGGGGCTGGGCTTGTCGGTTGTATGCAGGGTTAAAAAAAAGGATATGATAATATTTCAAGTCAACTATTTTGATGATGATACCTACTGGTTTAAAGAAAGATACAGAGAGTACAATCATAAGACGACGGCAGCAAATGGGGGAAGAATAAGGAACATTTCTGAATATTGCAAATATTTTTAAATGAAGTCATGTAGTATGCAGAGGAGCATAAATAGATTACTGGCACGGATTAGTATTAATGATTATGATGTTATAGTCATTGCGGAGACATGGGAATAGGGACATCAACATTGGAAACTAAATGTACCATGGTAGGATGACGATAGGATGGAAAGTAGAGTTGGATGGTGGGTTAATTCTGTTTGTATGAGATGGATTTCTGTGATAGCAAGAATTTGTCTTGAATCTGATCATGTAACATCCATATGAATGAAGGTAAAAAATAACAACAATGAAGACAATGGTGAGAGTAAACTAGAGGCCTTAACTTTTGCAGTTCTGTAGGACACAAAAGAAATAATGACATAAGGACGGCATGCAAAAAAATTGGTGCAATAATCACTAGTGGCTTGAAGATTAACGTAGATTGGGAAAGTAAACGCCTCAAAGGTAGCATTTAGGAAAACAAAATATCGTGTGTAAAGAACAGATTAATGTCTACAACAAATTGTACAAATCAGTGAGCATGT